ACTCTAACTTTACTAAGAATCACTGAATTGTACACTTACACAAGTGAATTCTATAGAAGAGAAATTACAATCTTAAGGGTATTTTTAATTAAAAATTTATGACAGCAAAAGACCCACTGCTGTTTTAAAGAGTGAATCATGTTCATTTTTGAAGATTTTAATTATATCTATGTATATTCTTGCTGTTTTAAGATGAAGACAGCTAGTGAAATACTTTTTTCCAGATTTCTGAATGTGATGGATTCTCCAAGCTCTTGTGGATGCTTCAGCTTTCTCAATTCAATAAAGAAGTCTTCAGTTTTCAGGACAGCACGCTTAACCCTGCAACTAAATAGCCTGCAGGCACTGACAGAGGATACTAACATCTGAAAACAATAGAAGGTCCAGTAAGTAAATGCAAATCAATAAGACTGGCTGATGAGTCCACATGAGTAAAAAGAGATTTGTAAGACAGAGTGTCTTCACTTCAGCCATTAAACTTCCCATTCACCAGTTCTTCATTAAATGCCTGTCTTAAACAGAGCAACTGAATCTTAAGGTATCAGACATGTTTGAATTATGGAGATCAACTGCTTCATTGATGGCCTTGGGCACAGGATAAAAGGATCTGAATTTAATATTTCCCCAGAAAATGATGCAAGGAGAGGTAATTGGCTGCACCTGGAAGATACTATCTTAATGTGAATAACTGCCAGAGATGTGGTTATGGAAGTGCAAGTATATTCAAGACACCAGTTGTGTTAAATGATAGGGACCACACTCAAGCATCTGATTGAAGGGTGGGGGGGAGAAAAGGAATATTATTCTCTGAGCTTGCTTTTGGAAAATGAGAATTGTGTGATGGTTGCAGGAACATGTAGCTTCATCATAAACAGATATATAGAAAATGCCAGGTCTTGCAGTCAAAGTTTCTTTTTGCAGATTCTCAGTACGGGGAATTAATCTGAGCAGCCTACCAGGCAAACTAGTAGGGCATAGGGGCAAAGATATAAACTCTCTTCAAACGTTTTTTGTTCTTAATAAACGTGCCAAGAGGTCAACTCAATAGGAGACTCAAATTTGCTACTAAAACAACAAACAAATAAAACACCACAACTCTTCTTTCTCAATCTATAATACAGGGATGCCTGGTATGAGAATCACTGTGTGGACTGGTGGTGGTTGGTATCTAAAAAATTAGAACCTCGAGTGACTATCCTGTGCCACATTTTACTGCTGGGGAAAGAGGAGTAAAGAGACCAATACTGGACATACCCAGAACCTCTGAATGTTTGGTTGGTCAATAAAATTTACAGAGTCCTTCAGTTCTTGATGCATGATGGTGTTTTAGTGCATTCTTGGGTGGTGTAGTTCCTCATCCTTGGCACAAATGACATTTTGGATTGGATGATTCTTTGTAACAGAGGGCTTTCCTATGTGCTGTAGGATGTTTAGCAGTGTTCCTGCCTATTACTCTTAATTCTGGGTAGCTCCCTCCACCCCAATTATGACAACATAAAACATCTCTAGATAGAAGGAAATGTTCCCTAGAGGGTTGAGAGTGCAACTGGATAGAAACTAGTGCCCTATGGCATAACTGTTCACAGTGGCTTTTTGGCCAGAACCACTAGAATCACTTCAGTCAAATCTCTGGGGTGGGAATGAGGAATCTGTGATTCTGGTGGCTCTGATTCTGTAAGGTTAAGAACTACCATCCAAATCAGAAAGACAGGCAAAAAATGACTAAATATATACATAAGTAAATAACCTGAAGTGATATGTATACTATACATAGCATTTGTAAGATGGGACATCTTCTCTTATCCATTAATCTTCAGAAGAAGATGGCATGAGGATGGAACAATGTTCTAGGGGAGAGATGTAATATTATTTATTGTGGTACTGGGGATAAACCCTTCACATTGAGCAATATACCTAATCTTTTACAAAGTTTTAAAAACTTTAATTTGAGGTAGGGTCTCCCTAAGTTGCTGAGTTGTCCAGGCTGTGCTGGAACTAGCAATCCTCCAGTCTCAGCCTCCCAGAGTGATGGGATTACAGGTGCACATCACTATACCCAGTGCAAAGTATAATTTTATTTTATTTTATTTTATTTATTTATTTTTTTCAAAGTATAATTTTAAATAATATAATCATGGAAGATCTTCCTGAGGAGCAATTTTGACAGAGACTGAGTAAGTGAAGGAGTCAAGGGATAAAAATGCTTCAGGAATGAAGGAGGAGGAGGAGGAGGAAGAGGAGGAATAGGAAAAAGCAAAAGCTCAGGGGCAGGTTTAGAGGATAGTAAGTAGGCTAGGTGATAAAGTAGACAAGTGTGCTGGAAAATATTTGGAAAAGAGGTGAGAGAAATAAAGAATGAATGAATGAACTTGTCTCTTCTGCATGTACTGGTTTTGAGTATATGAGGATTCTTTGATATTTTTGGCCCTCAACTTTCTCTCCTGTAAAGCATGATTAATACTTGTACCCTACAGGTCTGTTCTGAGAAATTAAATGCTCAAATGGTAATAAACCTCTGCAAAGGGGTAGTATATATTTCTATTTCTGAGCTTTCAGCACTTAGCATTTTATATAGCTCATTACATAATACTATTATAAGCATTGTTTAAAAAGAAGAATCTAGACCTACCACATCAGAGTCGCTAGTCTATTCTTCCAGATGGAAATTGCACTTGTAACACATTTCCTGAGGTGATTCTTGAATATGTAAAGTATCTTGAGAATCTTCATTCCTTTCATGTATTTGTATGCTGTCCTCTTCTTTAGTTATTTAAAATGCTCCAGCAGTGGAATTTCCAAATATAAAAATAAACACCTGAAATCCTAATGCCTTCCCAAGGATGGATCAGGTTTTAGAACTATTGTGGCATGTTCAGTGAATTATATTGAAGGGCTTGAATATCCTGGTGAGGCTTCCTGGATTGAATATCTAGAGGAATCCTCTGAGGAAACTAATTCCTTTTTTGTTTGCCCAAGCCAATTAGTAATATTAAGAAACAAAAATGCTTCTAGATCCATTGTGTGATAAAACTAACTCTGAAGTAGACATGATATTATGTCTACCATGAGGTCTATGAGGTAAGTTAAAGTTTTCCAAGGGAAAAGAGCCCTTGTATGTAATTATATAAATTTCTTTTGCTTTGCACTAAACTTCTTTCTGATTTGTTGACATTATGCTTTGGTAATTTAATATGACAGCCTTGAACTTCTGTAATGTCTGTCCTTCTAAACGCTTAGTATTTGGGGCCATTTCAGTCCTTAAAAATAAACTATTCTTCAACATGTTGCTCTGGTTATTTTCCTCAAACTTACTTGCCTTAGGGAACCACAAAGATTAAATCTTACCATGTCTTGAAGCTGCCATGGTTTGAATTGCTAAGTTTTTCTGCCTTAATTTCCCCTCTGTGAGTTCAAGAGGTCAGACATCGTCTGAGGCAACACTTAAGGAAACTGTATCTTGAGTAAGAAATCGGATTAGTTAGTTTGAATCCCTCTTTTTTCTTTTTCTACAATTGAAATAAAGGAAGGGATGGAATGGAGAAGTTTTCAATTGATATATTTGGTATAGAAAATGTACCAAAGCTGAAGAGAAAATGCCTTCCTATCGTTTAGTTGTTTGTTTGTTCTTTTTTTTTTTTTTGGTACCAGGGATCAAACTCAGGACTTTGTGCTTGCAAAGCAGGTGCCGGAACCACTGAGCTAAATCCTCGGCCTTCTTTACCTGTTGAACTAAACCCTATAGTTCATGATGAGGGCCAGGACTGGAACTGAAAAAAAATCCACTTTTTGTTCTTTTGATTCACTTTTACCTTGTAAGTACTATAAATTAATTATAGCAATTATTAAGATTAATATACAAGGAATTTAAAAATGTTAAAACCAAAAGATATTGTAACATCTTATACCTGGACTAACATTATATTAAAAATTTCTCATTGAAGGCCCATGCAACAATTAAGTTTCATGCTCCTTATCTCTCAGATCAGAGGACAGAGACTAAAAGGTACTTGGACTTGTTCCAAAGTTTTTAAGAGTGCTTATTTTTCAAGATTCAGCATATCATGTTCACTAAACTTTTTCCTTACTTTTTACCCACCTTAAAAGCATTTTAAATTAAAGTTACTTTTAGGGTTGTCAGATAAACTTCAGAATACCCAATTAGATTTCAATTTTTGATAAACAGCAAATGTATTTTAGTATATTTAAGTCCCAAATATATCTCAAATATTGCACAGAATATACACATAATAAAAATGTATCCGGAATTGAAATTTAACCCAGTATCTTGTATTTTTATTGTTAATTCTGGAAACTCTCATTGTTCCTATTTGGATTAATAATATTTGAACTTCAACAATATTTAGCTTCGGTCATTCAGCTTCAATCTAAGAGAATCTCTGAGGCAAATTATTTATTTTCTACCAGAAGGAAATTAAGGAAACAGAATTATGGTCTCTGAATTAAAGATACTTTAGAACCTAAGACTTTGTATTATTTTTGTTTTTGTTTTTTATGAAAAATTCGGGTTAGAAGCTGTTGTCTGTCATATTTCCTTAAAATGGCTGTGGCAGTAATTAGATATTTCTTAGTAGACCGTAGGACTTATTTTACCATGTAAGAAATGATAGAACCCAAAAGATTACAACTTGTTTCCTTCTTTTAAATCTTTATGGGCCTGCATTATAGAAGAGCTTCTACAAGGCCTCTCTGGTTGGGCTACTAGGGGTCCCTTTGCTCCTCAGCCAGGGCGGGAGGCCAAGATCAGCCTGGGAGGAGCATTGTCAATGTTGCCACAAGTGGGCAGCCTTATTTTCCCGCGTTGGACATGCGTGGTGGCTGGGAACTCGGTCTCTCCCAGGCAAGCCGAGCCCGGAGCTGCACCAGGGCCTTACGCAGGGCCTTACGCAGGGCCTTTGCCTCCTTGGCTCCTGCTCCTGGCCTGCTTTGCCCCACAGTAGCGCTCACCACAGGTAGGACGTATGCACGCCGGCCATGACGCAAGTGAGCGCTCCTGCTACACAGGCAGCCCTGGCCCCAGTGCACGTTACAGGAAGGGGGTGACCAGAGAGGGGACCTTTGTGGAAGGAAAGATGGAGCACTGGAAAGCAGGGGCATTTTCGAACAAACATCTCTCAGAGGGAAGCTCACCATTTCCCCGGTGGGGATTAAGAAGTCACTACGGGTCAGCCATACTGTCATTGCAGCCTTGTCTTGTACGGTATTGTGCGGTGGGGCTAGTGAAGAGCCGAGAGTGGGTACTGGAGAAGAAAGAGCGCCGGTGGCGGCAGGCAAAAAGTCTGGCCTGACACGCAGTACACCGGTGCTGGTGCAGGCCTCGCTTCTGAGCCCAGCGCCTGCTTCCGCCATGTTTTTTTGACAACGTAGTGTTTTAGAAGAGTTCTACAGTTTTGAGAATATTTTCTCTTTAAAAAGTTTCCAAGAGTTAATTTTATTCTAAAAACAGAGCAATAAACCACTTTCTGTGGGGAAAAAACGTGCTTCTATCCAGTCTTTTCTTAATTTGCTATTGAGTCAAAGGTCCATCATAGTGAGATATGCACCATTATAATTTACATTTGTCACCCATGCAAACCTTTTGCATACTAAAATACCTTAACAGTGCCTGCTTGAGCCCATTTTATATAAAGCTGAGCACAAAGACGGCTTCATTTCATCGCAGCTCTTCTTGCCTACTGATAGTCGCAGTTTCAATGGACATACTCCAGTTTAGTTTAAGATTTAGCAGAGGGGCTTGGTGGATCCTTCTCACTTTGAGATGGGTAAACATGTCACCTCACGGAAAGGTATTAAGAAGCAGGCAAAGACTCTGAATAATCAAGTATGTAATTTCTTTTTCTCCACAATAATGTTTAAGACTGTTATTTGCTATTGCAGGAACCTGCTTATCACTGATCCCACTCATCTAGACAGTTCTCAGGATCTACAGACAGGAGGTATGTTCAGATTTCATCCTTTAAGCTCTTTATTGTTTCTATTAGAAGCAAAGTTCAGCAATTCCTTTTGTAATAAGTCCTGTCTGGTTTGGGGGAATTTTACTCCACTTAATCAGTTTGATCTATGGCAACAATTTCTTGCCAGAAGGAGCTCAAAGACAAGAACTGAGTTAATGTCCTGCTATCTTCAAAGTATCTTGAAATAAGGTGACTCTTCCTGGGGGCTTGAGGTTCTTGCTTCTGTATAAAGTGGGGGAGAAATTGGGACTAGGAAAATGAGGATAGATTTGGAATGTCGACTTTTGTCTTAGAGCTAGGTGATGAAATGTGAACTGTTTTTATTATAACTCTCATGTAGTTGTAATAAATAGTTGAATGTTATCACAACTTCAGGCATTATGTTACTGCACTTAACCTGGAAGTTAGGCACCCTGTTCTACGCAATTCTCAGCTTAGAGGATTTGGGTCTCAAACCACTGTATTCTGGCAATTCTGAATGTTGTAATCTTTCCAAGGTTGCATATTCTACAAAATCCTAAAGTCAACCAATATATCAGTATGCTTTGCTTGGTCATTAAAGTTTCCCAGGATGAAATATGTAAAGACTAATTCTGAAATATAGCTTTGTGTACTCTGTATTGGAGTTGAGGAACTAAGCTGGGGAACAGAGTCTGCAAACTTTTTCTGTAAAGAGCCAGATAGCAATATTTCAGGCTGTCACAGTTACTTAGTTCTGCCATGTAGCAGTGGAGCAGCCCTAGGTAATATGTGATGAAGTGTGGCATCATCCAAAAAAAATCTTTACTCATACTTACTGATATTTGAATTCTTTTTGAGTGTTGCAAAAAAATTCCCCCTAGCTCAAAGGCTGGGAAAGAAACCAAAGTACAGGTAGGTGGAAGGCCGATTTTGGCCTGCAGATTACAGTTGGCAGCACCTTGCCAATAATGCAAGTCAAGTTCTGCCAATCTCCACTTGGTTTGTACTCACTGACATTGCAGAGACCTTGGATAATGTGTGTGTTGTACTTATGATTTGCTAGAGAGAACTGGAGTCAGATCAGGAGTTTCAGTGCCTTAGTGAGTCAGGCATCATCTCTTCAGCTCTCATTTTGGGACTAAAAAGGAGTGTCACAATGCAGAAGACATTGGGGGAATTTGAGATGTGAATTCTGTGTTATCTGGGGACAAACCATTTGGAATTGAGCAATCCTGCCTTCCCAGCCAGGGGTCTTCCAACGCCTTCTGCTTTCTCAAGCTTCTTTAGTTCCTTAACCAGTTATTTGGACATGATGGAGTTGACAGCATGGCTGCAGCTCTTCAACAGGTCATTTTGCAGAAGGTTTCTTCACATTTGGTTTTTATTGTTTTTCTGTGATTAAAGGGTTTCATTTCAAATATTTGGCCATATGCATACCTCAGTGTAGACAAGACCAGGAGCAGGAGATAAACACACCCATAAACTACTCCCTGCGTCTTACTGCCTACATACACCTAACATAAATAAATAAGTCAAAATATTTTTTTGTTTTGTTTTTGTTTTTTTGGTTTCAGGGATCGAACTCGGGTCCTTGCACTTGCGCAGCAGGCGGCAAAACCACTGAGCTAGATCCCTGGCCCTGAGTCAAAATATTATAATTGGAAAAAGTCCCTTACAGAACAGAGCATTACAAGTAATCTTTAAATAATAGTCTTTTAAAATTACAAAGGAAGCTTACATTGCAAGCTTTTTCTAAATAGTTACTCCGTAAATATGTTCAAATTAAGACTATATTTAAAGATTAAATATAGCTTACTCATGTCAGCTAATAATGTTCTGTGTGACCTGAGATAAGTTAGTTCACCACTCTGTGTCTGAGTTGCTTTAGTGAAAAGTGGAACTTGGGCTATGTGAACTAAAAAACTACAACTAAACTACAACTCTCATGTAGTTGTAATAAATAGTTGAATATTATCATAACTTCAGGCATTATGTTACTGTACTTACCTGGAAGTTAGGCACCCTGTTCTAATGAACTAAAAGGGCTTCTTGTGTGCTCATGACTTACAAAGATAAAGTGGTATAGTAGGTGAAGTAAGGTAGATAAGCTTTTTAGAAATCACTAAGTAGAAGAGCATGGATTTCTTAAATGGTGTTATGGACTGAATTGTGTTCGTTCAAAATCCCTAAATTGAATTCTTAACTCCCACAGTATCTTAGAATACAACCATATTTTGAAATAGGACCATTAATAAGATAATTAAGGTTAAATGAGGTCATATGGGTGGACCATGATCCATTTGACAGTATTTGGAGATAGTCCTTTTAAAGTGGTGATCAACTTAAAATGAGTAGGATGGGCCCTGAAATTCAGTGTGACTGATGTTCTTCTAAGGAGAGAAAGACACCAAGGATGGGCATACAGAGTAAGGCTATCTGTACTCCATGGAGAGAGGCCAGATTGGAAATCAAACCCGCAGATGCTTTGATGTTGGACTTCTAGCCTCCAGAACTGTAAAAAACTTTGTTGAAGCCACCCAGCTTGTGTTATTTGATTATATCAGTCCTAGAAAATTAATGAATGTCCCTTATTATAATAATATGTGTAGGAGGGGCTATCGCTGCATTGAGCTTGTGGAGCAGAGGTTAACTATAGGAGCACAGCTTCTCTCCACTCCTTGCCCCACTCAGCCTATTGTCAGGAGACTCTGGAGGGCTGGATTAGAAAGCAGAGGTGATTGGTTTGTGTGGATCTTCCTGCCATCTTTTTGCAGAAAATGCTCAGTGTTCTGGATATTAATAAAATCAAAATCCTAATCTGTTGTACATGTATTTATCGTATGTGTCTTAGCAAGTATTCCTATTACATCTGGCAAATATTTATGTCATGCCCTTATTGATATAAAGAAGCAGTTCCGAAAGTTTTTGTATAAAAATCCTAATGGAACTGCACAGGATTCCACCCAAGATTTTCACCATTTAACTTCATGAATGAACCAACCAAGTTAACTAGACACAGATGTTTTGTTTATAACTAGAGGAATTCATGTGAAGTTCGTGATGACATTTCCCTGACTATAAAATGCTGATGGTTAAACAGTGATACTGTGGAAGCATTTGGAGCCTCTGTCTTGAGAGGCAGTTCTTAAGTGTAATGGTTTAATGGTCATTTAGCACAATGGGCCTTTGGAGTATAATATCATTTGCCTGCCAGTTAAAATGAATACTTCTCTGTGGGAAGTCAAAGATCATGTCAGCATAACCTGGGTTAGGTGAAGTAGAGAATGGAGAAGTGAATGCCAAAATGGAGAATGGGGAATATAATCTGTTTTAGGCCCAGGCTGTGCATAAATCCAGTGCAATTAAAAACACAACTAATTTTTACTGATTAGGAAAAATATACTACATTGGTGACAAATTTTACTTTTCCTTTTTAAAAATGCTGCTTTATTTTGCACTAACCTAATAATTTTCCTCATCTGATTTGATAACTTTATCTATTTTATTGATAAAATTAAATAAGAAAAATAAGCTCAATTTGCCTACCCTGAAACTCCTTTATCTGTGTGTCCACTCTACTTTTAGATATGTGGGGCAGTGAATGTGTCTCCTCTTGTTTAAGGTTGGTCTCTCCCCTGAGGCCCTTTGGTGTGCCTATCCCAATTCCTTAGTGACCTCAATCCCTCAAGACACACCCCCCCCTTATGTTCAGCCTGTTTCTGCTTATGGATTTTTTTTTTTTTTACGTGAACATGTCAGTAGTTTTGGTGACATTTCTATTCTTCTTTCACTGCCCTTACTTTGAAATTAATCTTACCCAGGCACTTAACTGTGTATGTACTCAAAGTTCCAGTGCTGTCCCAAACGCTATCATTATGGCCGTTATTCAATCTTTAGGATTCTGCAGGGACTGGAAAGGTTCATACCTTCTGTGACATCAGGCACACCCTTCATTCTTCTTGGCATTTGTTGCATCCTCTCAGCTCTTCATTTTTGATGACTTTTCATCCTTTGCTATGAATTGTTGGTGGTCCTCTTGTTCTTTCCCTGGTCATCTCTCTTGTTCATGCTTCATATGTTCTGTGGGCAATGTTGCTTGCATGCACTTTTAGAATAAACATCTTGCCCTGTCAGTACCCTGTAACTCTACATCTTCAGCCCTGTTGTTTGGTTCAAACCCCAGAGTCAGATATCCAACAGAAAATTGGCTATTCCTACCTCAAACTTGCCATCTCAAACCCCAAGCTTAGTTTAACCTCTAAGCTTGTTCCTTCTTTGTTGTTAATCTCAGGTTCTGGCATCAGCATTCTACAGCAGAGGTCCATAATCTACAGTCTGTATGCCCAATCCAGTTTACATATATTTTGTAAGTAAAGACTTTTAGAATACAGCCACGTCCGTTTTTTATGTGTTTTAATGGAAGACACTCTGTGATTTACCAATCTGGAAGTACTAACTCTTTACAGAAAAAACAAAACAAAATTGCAAATTTACATCCCAGAGCATCAGGATCATTTGGCAATCTTGTGAAAAGACAGCTTGCTGGGTAATATTTCCAGAGGTTTTCAGTTAGGGATCTGAGAATGTGCATTTCTAATAGGTTTCCAGATAATACTGGTCTAGTAACTACAGTTCAAAAAGACTCTGTTAACAGTGTTTATGGTTATGTTGTCATTCACTTATATCTCATTAATAGAGATTAAGTCTCTCTTCCATAAAAATCTGTCCTCAAAAATATACATCTTTGTACAACATGACAGGTTCTCAGGGTCTCCCATTATCTACGTGTATGTTTCACCAAGTTGAATTTAGAAATGGATTCTAATAGAAAGTTGGGCACTGTGCTATTAAAAGCATGAATTTTATTTTGTGTCAAGGTGCTTACTGTATTAACTAAATTGAATCCTCATAATGACCTGTGTGTTAAGACATTTTTGGTCTCCATTTTCCAGATGAGCAAACTGTTTCAATAATGATGTCACATAGTAGGAAAGTAATGAAATCAGAATTTGAGCCAAACA